GCGATGAAAAAAAAAAAAACGTGGACAAACCATTCACTCTTGTTCAATGCGGAATTGCTGGAATATGAGCATTTATTCCATCATCACCCGGGTGCTGATAGCACGCGCGCACAGGTGAGACCTGAACAGCACACACTGATATCTGTGTTTAAGCTAAACTCGTTTAAGCTTTGCCAGATTAAACATTTAAGAGCCAGAGGACGCTCGCGCAGAGAGAAGATTTGTGCGTGCGCTCATCCGAAGCGAGCTAACCCGCGCCTCAGAATGCGCGCAAATATTAAGCTTTCTCTGAAGTCAGTGTTTCCCCTGCCATTATATTAGGGGGGCGGCCCGCCCCTCCAAAGGCACCCCCCGCCCCCCTTGAAGGTCAAGTTAATTTTATTTAATTTTACTTTCTCTATAGCGCCAGATCACAACAGAAGTAATTTAAAGTTACCTTTCCTATAGAACAGGTCTATACCTTGTTCTTTTATTAAACAACTAAATAGCCTTATGTTATTTATCTTATTTACACGACGGCATGTCATTTCTGTCTCTATGTTACATGGTCGCGCTCTCTGCATCGCGCACTCTGTGAGCACACTCCCACTCCCACTAGTATTTGTAAATATTAAGCCGCGAAATGACTATTTAAATATGATTTTTGCGTGTCTATGTGTTAATGAATGGCGCAGACGCGCGGTTATGTTTACTACTCGTACTGAAGCGTGTGTGACACTTCCGGTGATATTAACGTCTGCCGTCTCTCTAACGAGGACGTAAATACATGAACAACATCTCCAGAACTGCTCTGAGAGTCACTTCATGAGCACTTGACCGTTTCATTTGAGTAAAACTATCCTCATATCATATAAACACAGGAATGTAAAGGTATTCACGGCAACCCGTCAAAATAAAAGTTTGGTTTAACTTGAAGACATTGCATTACTATTGTTCAGTAGTTAAAACCAGTATTAAAACCTTATTTTTAAGGAATAGTCATACAATATTTCTTCAATGTTTTAATTGTAATATTAAATCCCCTTTATTTTCCAAAAATACAATTTGTTTAAATTTCATTAATTAAAAGATAAATTAAATGACTGTTTTATGCCTTAAAATATGTAAATACACAACACAGAATTTCTGAGGAAAAAAATCATTAGGCTACAGTAAGAATAAATGAAACTTGTTTTTATGTTTCAAATAATTAGTCATGTTAAAACAGAGAATTTGGTAACAATAAGGTTGGAAAAAATAAAACATTTCATATGGCCCTAAACATGTAATTTTTGTTAAACTTTTGATAAATTGATGTTAAATTGTTTACGTTTCATGATTTTAATTAATTAGACGTTTTTTTTATTAATAAAATTTAATTTAACCATTAAAAAGGAGTCCAGAAAAATTGAAACGGAAAATTTTTTGTTTCTGTATTAAATCAGGCTCTATTCATAGAATTAGAATAACTAATTCTAATTAACTAATAACTAATTTAATAATATTTAATAGATACAAACTGAACCGTGAGTAAGTTGAACCGTTCCACCCTTAATTCAAACCAACTGCAAATCATTCTGAAGTCCACCAGAACTATACTAGGGAAGTAAATTTTGGTCATTTTGTCTGCTTGACAAATAAATTAGATCTGCATACACCCAAAATGCTGTTTTAACTGATAATATATACAACACATACATATATATATATATATATTCTGAAAGTATAATAAATGCAATCCTTTTTTTCAACTTTTAAAAAGTCATTTATATATATATATACATTTATTATACTTTCAGAATTTACCATTACGAACTGATCAATCCCTAAAAAACAAGCATACAAGTTTTCACATATGCTGTGCCAACAAAACAATCCTACTTTGAAGCTAAATGTACTCAGGTATGCACCAAAATTTCTATTGTGGGGGAAAAAAGGGTCCAAACTGAGAGAATCACCCTAAAAACCTGAGAACTTTTAAATAAAACAGCTATACTGTGTAAAATTGCACATTTGTGGATGCATTGAGGACCTGCAAAGAATCAAGCCAATTCCAGGCCTTGTCTATTGAAGAATGAAGTTATTTGGCCACTCTGAGACATGCTGAAATATTGGATCGGGTGAGACGGCGGGATGACATGTGGTACAACAGCGTTCCACAGGGATGCTCTGCCCAGCAGCAAGTCAAGGCTAAATCGGGCCCATCTACAAGCCTCCCTAGAGAAGCCAGTTATGAAATGACATGACAGCACACATGTACTGCCAGACTGAAATATCACAGTTCTTTCTTTCTCTCCTTCTTTCAAAAAACAACAAAAAAAAAAACACTTAGAGAAAGTCATTCTGGCACCTGGCTGAACACACAACATTTCTCAAAACTTCACATGCAAGATCAAAACCACAGCAAACACTGCATGGCAAATAAAGCATCATTCATGGTCTCAAGCTAGATAAACCCTCATGAGACTGAGTCATACTGTGCCGTTTAAGCATTTTAGAAGCTGATACAAATATCTACTGGGGATAAGGCCACCAGGGAGACAGACGCCACAGTTCAGACCATTCAGACTGCAGTTAGAATACCTTTTGTGTGTTTGTCTTCAATTAACTCTCATTTAATTATACTCTTGATCCAGTCACCCATGGTTAACAGCTATTAGAAAAATAAGTACTAAAAACAAGGATGTAAACACAAGAGAGCACAACTTGAGGAAGAAAACGGTTCTGTACCTTTGCCCTTGGCTTGAGAAAGGAGATGAAAAAGGAACAGAGAGATAAAGAGTATCCACAGAAGGTAAGCATGGAGAGATATGAAGAAACGGTCAAAGCACAGTTCACATCTATGCATTCAAGGTTCACAGCAATTCAGTCAATTCAAGCATGCATAATCAATCTCAACAGAGTGAATACCAGTGAAGGAGTGTGGCATACCTTGATCCGCCATCATCATGTGTGCAAATCCTTTGAGAAACAGAGAAAGTGACACAAAAAAAAGAATATCTTTAGGTATGTATCAGACCATACGATGACATTAAATCTTTGCAGAAGGAAAAGGTTTATGAACATCTTATTTATTTTTAACACTTATATTTTAAGGTGTCATTGTTACACAGGTTACATGTATTTACTATTATAATAACAATTAATTATGCATAATTACATGCAAGTAACCCAAATCCTAACCCTAACTATACATGTAGTTAATTAATATTACTCCGTACTTAAATGTATAATTGTGACCCTGGACCACAAAACCAGTCTTAAGTCGCTGGAGTATATTTTTAGCAATAGCCAAAAAAACATTGTATGGGTCAAAATTATCGATTTTTCTTTTATGCCAAAAATCAATAGGATATTAAGTAAAGATCATGTTCCATGAAGATATTTTGTCAATTTCCTACTGTAAATATATCAAAACTTAATTTCTGATTAGTAATATGCATTGCTAAGAACTTAATTTGGACAACTTTAAATGCGATTTTCTCAATATTTAGATTTTTTTGCACCCTCAGATTCCAGATTTTCAAATAGTTGTATCTCGGCTAAATATCGTCCTATCATAACAAACCATACATCAATGGAAAGCTTATTTATTCAGCTTTCAGATTATGTCATGATGTATAAATCTCAATTTCAAAAAATTGACCCTTATGACTGGTTTTGTGGTCAAAGGTCAAAATTACACTGTAACAAGGACACCTTAAAATAAAGTGTAATCTAAAGTTTTAATAATCTGACACAAAGTGGTAATTACAAAAGTATCTGCTTTTGCATTTTCATGGAAATTATTGGTTTAACTTGTTTATTTTTATTTATTTAGATGTTTTATCTAATGTGACAGCTCAATTTTTTGATTGTAAAGTGACAAAAATGTAAATACATTATGAATAGTCATCTATAGCCCAAAGTTGGTGTAGAAACAACCCTCTACGGACACCTTGGCAATTGAATTGCCATTGGTTAGTAAATTGTTTTGTTTACTCGCCAGACTATATAATAAATGTTTGTAAAATGGCAGTTTTTTTAAATATCTGAAAGTACACTCTTAACATCAGTCAGTCAAGCATTATAATATGATAATCTAGTATTATTTAATGATAGAACTTTAGTAATTAGAATTAAAACTTGATAACCATTTATGAATGCATATACCGGACTGGTGGTGGTGCTTTTTTGGTCATTCAGTGTTTCTGTAAAAAAAAATTGGGAAAAAACTAACAAAAATACTGATAAGACAATAATGATACGAATTCTACTAATAAGAACAATATAAAACGCACCAAGGATTAATGAGCTACTGGATTCATGAATATGCTCGAACTGATTTGCTGAAATCAAAACAGGGACGATAATGAGATTGCCGTTTGCGCATTAGTTCCGCCTACTACCAGAGAACCCGGCAGTTCTTAAAAGCGAAAGAATTCCAAAGGAACGCTGTTATAAGTACAAAAGGACGGCGAGTCGTGCGCCTTCACACTAAAGTATACGATACGTCAAATACAGGTGCGCTGCGCATCCGTTGAGATGAACTGAAAAATAGCACAGATCACTTGACGGAGAGTGAAACTCTGAAGCACTCAGTTAGAGTGTTCAGCAAGTGAAAATATATCTGTGCTAAACTTATACTTAGCCTTCAACTCACACACTGGCGAGTAAAATCAGAGAATTTATTAGCCATTGGCTAATATTAGACATCATTTAGTCGCCCAGAGTGAAGATTTAGTCGCATATGCGAGTGATTTACTCACAATGTAGAGGGTTGAGAAATTATTTACAAACAGAAACTACTAAATTAGACAAGTAATTACAAAGAAACGTAAAGAAAAGTAACACATTTAACTAAATGTGACATTTTGATGTAGAAAGACTGAAATGGTATTTCCTTGCAAAAAATACAACTTTTAAAAATCATTTTTACAGTGTTGTGCATTGTATGTTGTTTAATATAAATGTGGCAAAGTATATTGATTTTAATTATTAATTTAGTAATTAAACTAATTTTTCCAAATGCATATTATAGATCTTATTGTGAACAGTTCAATCATGCATATTTCATTTTCTCAACTTCGGTTTCATGGCAACTAAGTATTTTTCATTATGGTAAAGAGAGCAATAGCATGTTTGAAAATATACGTTTATATTACTGTATATTTGAATAACATATGCACTCTACATCATTAATGCTTTCACCGCCTATAAAAGACAGCTTCAAATCAGCCTTAAGGACATTATCAACTCACCTGGGATGCTGTTGGCCTCTGATGGTGTTGCAGAAAAGAAGACACAATGGAAAAAAGAAAAAAAAGAGGAGAGAAACATTGCAGCCATTAGAGCCCACTCATATTATCTTTGCATGAAAACTATCATGCAAACTCTGACACACCTGCCAGCATGCACTGAGCAGACATCTGCCCTGTGCATGTACATAGAAACCCTTAAAATGCCCCTTGCATCCATCCATCCACCCCCTCTTCTCCCTGGGATATGAGGAGGGGGGGATCAGATCTGTGGTGTATGAAACAACATGACACACCAACATCTAAGAGGTCTAGTTCATCTTCCATGTCTTACACACACTCCCAAAGCCCACATCCACGCCTGGGTCATAAATCCAAACAGGCAACAAACAGAACCTGCTCCCTTTAGAGAGGGTTGTGGATTTATGGGACGCTGATGTTTGTCTAAAGCACTGTTCCATACTCAGAGCCTGGTAGCGTTTACTCTCATTGTAGACACACACTCGCTCTCTCTCTCTGTGTCACAGGCCGCCTTTGGCACTGAAGCACTGGGCTGACTCATTTCATTAATGCACTCTGGTCGTCTCCCAAACCAAAGGGCATCCAACACTGATAAACGGGCATTGCAATGCTCTGTGTGATGAAAAACAGCTAATCTACGATTTCTCTAATCTGTTCCGGCTAGGGATGATTTACGATCATCCGAACATCCAACTACTCGATTAGTGAGGTCAGTGATTCTTAAGCTTTGATATTTTTAGCAGTGGTGATATTATTGTGTTCAACTTCAGCTGTTAAACATAAGAAAATTTGTTTAAAATAATTAGTCATGTTAAAACACAGAATTTGGTAACAATAAAATATAAGGTTGGAAAAAATTAACATTTCATAGGGCCCTAAACATGTAATTTTTGTTAAACTTTTGATAAATGAATGTTAAATTGTTTACGTTTCATGATTTTAATTAATTATAAATGTTTTTTGATTAATACAATTTTATTTAACCATTAAAAAGGTGTCCAGAAAAATTTAAACGGAAAAAAACAAAACAAAACATTCTCTTAAAGTGACAGCACTTTCTTAATATTAATCAAACAGCAACAACAAAGAAATCACTCACTGCTCTTGATTGAATAGCTTTTGTAACTTTATTCAAGATTAATCTTTAATTTATACAGTCAAATATGCAATGCTGTTTTACACTTCATTACTTTATTCAATTTCTACCTGAAAACTTATGTTAGACCTACATAAAAAAATATGAAAATCACTGTTTATTTTATTTGTATCTTTACTCTATTGTATTTATTTGTGCTGTTGCTTGTAGTTAGATTATTCTTATTTTCTTTATTTTTATTTGACAGTATAGTTTTTGCCTAAACATATCACATACCGAACCACTAAACTACTCGATTAGTGAGGTCAGTGATTCTTAAGCTTTGATATTTTTAGCAGTGGTGATATTATTGTGTTCAACTTCAGCTGTTAAACATAAGAAAATTATCTTAAAATAAATTTTAAAAAAAATTATAATATTTTTTTTTTTTTGACTATTAAAACAGAAATCTATTTTGTGTATATATAGTGTACACAACTTTAGATTAATAACACTTTAGAAGTAAATGTATTTCCTAATTACCAATTTTTTTTTTATATATTGTAAATGTGCATTATATATTACATGACATAAACCAAATATTTTAAAATATACATAGACATTATAACTATTATTAGGTATACTTTTTAAAATACTTTTTATTCATTAATATTTAGCTAACTTTGAGATTATCCAGATTATTCCAATGAATTATTTCATATGACTCTAAAGAATTTAAGATTTTACTGTAGATTTTTTAATACCAGACACTGACAGGCTGAAAAACCAATTTATCTGTTGCCAGTGCACACAAACTGCTGCTAATACAGGAAATTAAGGAAAACCTGATGGGGTCTGCCTCCATGAAATGCTTTTAGTGCAGAGTAATTATAGCTACATTAGACATTAATTTAGTCCTGTATGTGTTGATGTCTGTACTGGCTGAAAATGCAATATGTTGTCTCTCACGGTCACTCATTTTCGGGACACGTTCCAATGTGTAAGTGTGTGTCTGTCTGCCGTGCTTGTTAAAGGCTGGTACAGGACATTAAGTCCTCTGATGAGATGCATTAACCTGGTGGGGAAAGTATTAGGATGTGATTGGAGAGCGGGGAATGCTGAGCTACACTCAGGATGTGAGAGCCATGGTGACTTGATTGATGTGTTCAGCTCTTGAGATGACCTGTACTGAAGTTCTGGCTGGAATATGAATGTCTACATGCACTGTCAGCCTTCTATGATGACCTAGTTTCTCAGAAACAGCGGTGAAACAAAAATTAATGTTTAGTTGTAGCACATCAGTAGATCTTTTCCTTGTTTTCTCAAAAGCAACAAGTTTACTAGTTTAATCTGGATTCACACCAAATTGTAATGATCCCTGCAATAAAGAGTCATGTGAATAAAATCTGTTTCTCAACACATTTTATGCATCGTTTTCTAAAATAAATATTAAATTATTAACCAGAATACTACATTTTTGCATTTTCTGAACAATTTTGTTCAAAAAGTGAAAATGTTAAGTTCAATTACTTAGAACAGTTCTCTTATATACAAAAAAAGCAAACCATAACTAGAAAATGTTTAGAGAGTCTTATCCTTAAAAAAACAACTCTAAGATCTACATATCCTCATAATGCACTTTTGAATTTGCTTTGTTTACATTAAATAACACATGAGGAGATTTGTAAAGAGTGGCCAGCTTAAACATAAACCTCAGCGTACCAATTCAGAGACCATCCGCATGGGAAGACAGACTGAGTGTTTGTTTGGCTGCCAAATGTTTATTATTCTAATCCGCCAAAAGATTACGCGCTTTCGCAAATGATGCAGCGGCGTGGCTATCACGATTTTCACAGAGCGAGGAACATACGCCACGGCAACGCAAAGCAGTTCTGAGGCCATTTTAGCCATCTGGCTATCAAGAGGAGTGTCAGATTGTTGTTGCTGCTGCTATGGCAATTGGATTCAGTCAAACGTACGTAAGGCTAATGCTTAACACTTCGGACCAGCTTGCCATATGGCTCCGACCCGATATTTATTACCCACGTACAGATGTTTCAAAAGCCTGAAGACACAAGGTTAAGATGGAATTAAGATTGCTCAGTGGATTTTCGTAATGTTGTTATCAAACACTGATGTCAGCCATTAATGTGTCATTTCACAATACTGGTTTTGATTAGAGAGACGCCAGGAGAGGAAGTTCAGCTGTAGTCTTACAGAGCCTTTAAGTTCAGGCTACCCCTGTGCATCAGTATAAATGGCCTCCAAAAATGGTTTATTTATTCTTTTATGATTGGCTGAACTGATTCCCAGCATTCAAAGCCATCAAAGCTGCTTTTACGTCTGGCTTTAGCCCCTATCAGTTGACTGCAGGACCCAGTCAGCCAAACAAGATGGAGAGGAACAACGGCTGTAAATCAAGCCCAAAACTCTGTTCTCTTTACAACCAATAAATTTAACCCTAGTGTCTTCTACACATCCCTCTTTCTCTCATTTTCTCTTTCTTGCGCTCTGAAACAGGCTGTACATGCATACACATTCCCTTCTATATTAAATACCCAAGTACACAGATAGCATCCTGGCTTTAACATTTTAATCACATTCAGTAATTGTGTAATTAAGGAGAGCATCGCAGGAGTGGTTGTGTCTACAATGAGAGTAACAACTCATAGGGCTCAGAGCACTGATCACCGATCAATCACCCAGCTTAAACACTCCAGTCACAAGGGGAAAAAAGTTTAGGCCTAATCAAGACAGGAAATATACACATTAGTTTCTGTAATTGTTTCCTAGCTAATTAAAATTCATTATTTATCAGGTAAAGATAACCCATATTGTTTTTGCTAGAATTTAAAGCATTTAAGAGGATATCTTTAAAGCAAAAATTATCAAAAGAAACAGAAATATTCAAAAAAGAAATCATAGTGTACCTTTCATTACCATCAGGATCATCTACCAGGATCTAAAACTTGTTTCATGGGGAAGAACTCAAAAGTTGCGTTCTGTGGTATAACAAAATTAGTTTAGTTATGATGATTATATTTACAAAATAAATGCGCGCAAACCAGAAGATCTGTGTATAAATGAGCACATTCGATAACCAAGGTCATAAAATGTTCTTTCTAGGAAAACCAGTAATGACGCTATAAAGAATTGCAATTGACATGTTTAAAATAGGCAATTATCCCCCATCTCTGATTCAGTCTCTGTTGAAGAAGTGCAACAACAAAACCCAGAGCTGTGAAATGGCCTCCTCAAATCCCCAGAGAAACTAAAATGGCCACTTCAGAAAAACAACCAAGGGACCTAAAAATGCACCTTAACATCCTAACACCCCACCTCCTCAGCCGGGCACGCTAACACACACACACACACAAACACTTGCCAGAGACAAACAGCTTAGTGCTTTACAGAGGTAAAAACGCAGGCTTTGCTAGTAGTGCATTTCAATGACATTCACTTTCAATTGACCGTAAGAAGCGATGGGGGAATAGAGGAGGGTCTTATGAAGCTGATCAAGAAATTCCCAGCACAAAAACGCCTGCCAATGCAGAAAACAGATCAATCTCTGTAGACAAGCTAAGAGACGCCATTAACCTGAACCTTAGAGTCAAACTTCAGTAGCATGAATGATTCTGGGAAACATTATTCACATTTCAGCAGTTAAGACTGACAATTTCGAGTATAATTAGATGGGTGCCAATAAACGTTTGAGAAAAGATTTTACATTGCATATACAGTACAAAGTCAATATTGCATTTGCTCTTATCAAGCTGTAAAATATAAACCGTTTTACCTTCGTTGCAGAATCGGCCAACATATTCTGTCTTAGAACAATCACAAAGCGGTTCCCCATCCACAACGGAGCACGTTCCTCCATTCTCGCATGGGTTCTCCATGCAGATCCCCTCTATGTCCATGCGGACCCTCTGGCTGCTTAGCAGAATAGGTTCCTTGTTACTGTACTTCAGTTCCCTGATAATTCCCTTAAACGGTGGAAGATCCTTCACTGTCGGGAGAGTGAGCACAGAAATACGAATATCTTGAGGGACTCCGCCCAGGAAGAGGTCACTAACGATCTTCATGTACTGCCTCTGTGGCTGCACCTCGCCCAATTTGCTCACTCCGTCCAGAACCAGCACAGTTCTCAGGTTGTACCTGCTCAGGGTGGCAGAATGCCAGCTGCTGTCATTGACTCGCTTGTCCGATACGACTGTGGTCTCGGCACAATCGATGCCGAACTGCAACTGGAGCTTCCCTTCGACCACCATGAGCTGCAGGAAGTCGCAGAAGCCACCATCGTCAAAGTACAGGATTAAGGCGGTGGACACGTCTGTTTTGAACTGGAAGCTGAGGTCACTTCTGGTGCTGGCGTCCCAGCGGAGATAGCGTGCCCACTGGCCTTGCGACCCTGTAAACTCCAGGCCCAAGCAGGGCCCAAGTACAGTACTGATCAGCAGCTGCAACTGGACTGGGAATCTGAAGAAATTCATTGTAAAAGTGCTGGAGATTTGGGGTTCTTATCCTGAACAGAAGGAAATCATTGAATGCGCTTTGGTTCAAAGGTCAGTATATCCAAAGTACATCCCACAGTATGCCCAGAGATACTAAAGAAGAGGTGAGATCGTCAACGCAGCGACAAACAAAAAATATCCTAAAAGAGGAGAGGGAGTTAGGAGGAGAACAGTCTTAAATAACAGTCATAAGGCTAATGACATTGCACAACAATCCAATCTCTGTCAGGCGACAATAAAAGTACTTCTTCCACGTTTCCTGGAATGGATCGACTTGAGGAGATGAGCAGATGAGGTGTTGTGTGTCTGCTGAGGTGCTGTTTTCTTCTGGTATCTCCTCAGACTTCAATCATCCAGACAGGTCCTCCAGGTCGGACTCTTTCTGTATTTAGGGAAACCAGCGCAGACTGCATGATGCCTTGTGGGTAATGTAGTCCATACTGTTACTCTGCCCCGTCTAGCACACAATAGCTGTCAAAATAGAAAAGCATCAAATTACAAACGAATCCACGAATGTCTCAGTCTATCGAGTGTGTGATTTTTTTTATGCATAAAACACAAAAGCATAAAAATATATTATGTAACAAAACAATTCAGTACACTTTCACAAATATTATCATGAAAAGCTGCATTTGAATAAGTCTCTCATCATTTTGTAAAACGCAACTCCTGATAAAGCCTAATTAAAAGTTTCTATTTTAGAGGCATTTTACCCAAAAGATTCTTGTGTGTTATCGGTCATCTAGTGTGTAAATTACCAGCATTATTCACATGGCAGCTCCAGCTATCATTCAATAGCAGCGAGTCTGTGTTTATCTGATGATGTGGAAAATTAAAAGGCTTTCTGCAGGATGCACAATGCATGAAAACAATAATATGCATGTCGACACATTCTCATGACACATAATCCACATTTACAGCACCATAGTCATCTAAACACTAGGTCTAAAAACCTATAATATTTTGCTTTAAAAATATTTAATTTAGGTGTTGTCCTTCATTTTGAAAAAAAAATGCATTGCATAAAGATGATCTATAATTAATAATAATCTTAAATAATCTAATGAATAATCTAAAATTATTGTGCATTATTATTATTATTATTTTATTTTTTTTTTTAAGGAATGTTGCATAACAAGATGCAGTAAAAATGCAACGGAAATGTTTATTTTATGGATTAAAATAATTACAGGGCTTTTTTAACACATCCTTAAGCGCAAACAAAATGGCCTGTTTTGTTCTACAAATATGAGAGAAGATTCCCATGCTGAAGTTTGGCCTTGAACCAGCACAGATTAGTAGGACTTTTGTGAAGGCAAAACGCAGCTCCGGCTCCTCTTAACATGTGTCCCCTACGTGCATAAATGAATAGGCTCCAATTACACGGCAACATGCGAGGTGTAACCTAATAGACATCTAATATTGCCCGTGTCCTTGCCAGAGGCGTAGGCAGCAGGTACGGCAGGACAATAGTGCTTCCAGCCCACACGATTCAACCGAGCCGAAACACAATGCATGCCGTCAGAGCTCTGCCTGCTGCAGCTGAAGAGGGGAAAAAGAGCGAGAGACCGCGTGCTTGTAACAGATACTCCACGTTGGCTCGCTCCCACACCTCGAAATATGCATGTGTGCTTTCCCTTTTTCTTTTTTTGTCGGGCGAGGGCCTGCAAAGAGGAGGAGAGAGGTGAAAAGGCTAAACTGAGCACATCATTGTCCTCATTGATATGTGATTGACACACCCCACTGGGAACGGCACACAACACCACAAAATAAAACCCCTGCGTTTGGATCCCGCTTAAAAAGTCGGCGAGTAGGAGAAGGAGGTGTAATAGAGGAAGGGAGGCATGTTAATGACAGCAGGCCCAACCATTAATCAGACACACAAAGCTGGGTTTTACCACAGGTGCCTCAATTATGCTCTGCCATTACACCAGAAGAGCTGCGACAAAATGTCCTCCAGTGCATCCGATGATATCATGGAGGCTTTGGGAGGAGGTGCACGCCATTTCAGCGAGCTCGGCTCCGTAAGTGACACGGTTGCCGTCGAGCCTCAGCGTGGTGGAGCGGAGGAGTGGGCGAGGTAGAGCTGGGCCAAAATGGATGACATCAGCATCCGGTGCTCTCCTCCTGGGCTGCCAGCCGGCGAATGGGAGGCGTGAGGATCCTACCTGGCCTCATATAGCCTCCCCCCAGTGACCCAGAGTGGGCACGGGTACCACCAGCAACCCCCTAAGCAACCCACTGCAGAGGAATAGGGACTTGTGAGTGGTTCTGCAGCAGTCATTTACGGCATTACATCACCTTGCCAAAACACACCATCCTTGTGCCATGATTCACTATAATACCCCTCATAATCAGAGGATTAGGAATATGATTTATGACCAAATTTCACTGTGGTAAAGGTGTGGAGTGTGTGCATTATATAGGGCTCTCTGATCAAGACAGAAAGATCACGTCACACTGCGGTGTATTGGAAAGGCAGAGCACATTCGATGAGTGTTTTGGAGAACTGAGCATTACACAACGCCAATAGGAAATATTCTTCAATGCGACACAGACAAAAAGGCGATTTTAAAGAATTAAAAAAAGAAAAAAAATCTAACGCGGCAGAACGATATTCGTTACAAAATTGGGAAATGTGTTATGTGTTTCTTATTATATTCGGTAAACAAAACGAAAATATATATTATATTTTACATGGCGTTCATTAAATATCTAATACATTTATATGTGCATATATATATGTGTATTTTTCAGTTTTAGAATTATCAGTGTTAATTATTCTAATTCGTTTATCTCTGTGGAAAAATACATCGGTTGCATTAAAATCATTTAGCTGTCTTGGCTTGATATGTAAATGGAGATTATGACCAACACCCGTGAGAACAAAACGATACAAAATACAGGGAAACTAAACAATATAAATGTCCTTTTATTTTAATTTTAGCTAACGTGTAATGCGATTTAATACATTTGAAACAGATGTATATTTTTAAGCAAAAATCGTTTATATGGATTATTAAATTTGAATGGTTTTGTGCTCCAATATTTCGTTTTTACAATATACACACAAAATGTGCTCTAATACACCAAATTATTAGTGCACAATTCAGTCACCTAAAACAAGGCACGTCAGTCTCACAAATAAATGAGCACATGTATAAACAGACCGACAAAATCATTTTGGTGAGAGGACACAGCATCATATTTCACACAAAAGATGTCACAAAACACCACAGGGTGAAATTATATTCGAGCGTCATGGAGAAATTAAACACGATCGAATCAATATATGATATATTATTTTAATTCAGACATACGTGTTCATTTTCATTTCTGTCAGCTGTGAAAAAAAAATCGTCGATGAATATGTGTGTGTGTTTGACAAGGCCGTGCTCAGTAAATATTATCTACCCCGACAATTTCAGGACAAACGATACTGTCTGGGTGGATGTGTAAACATTTCGGCAAAAATGTTTAACACACAAATACAATGTATCTAGCCCAATTATTATTTTGACAAAAACATTCAATGTAGGCTACTAAAAAGCATAAGCCTGGATCGTCTACCTTTAAAATGAGTGTGTGAGCGCGCTAGTGTGTGATATACTGGATTATTACCAAAGTCTATTGAATTCCAGGAGATCTAACTGAGCCACTATAAATTGATGAGAACGAATTAAGATATTCTAATAATGCACTGTACTCACTTGAGCACTTCAAAGCGAGACAAAAAGAGCTGAATGTGCATGTTATGTGCAAACGTGCAAAAAGTCAGTTCAAAAAAATTCTAACATTTCAATTATTGTGACATCAAGACAGATGTTTATATTGAATCATTTATAAGGGTTTGTGAATATTCTTAAATCACTGCAACGTGTTAATAGCCACCCTTGAACTATTTATAATTTTTTTAATAAATATATTTTGAATAAAAGACTGCTAAGATTTCCGTATACATTGTCTAATAAAATCCAGAATAAAGTAGTACACTAATAGATCATATTAGTAAAATGTATTAGGCTAAGTACACCACATGTGTGCATCCTAAAAAATTAATTTTAGCCAAATAAATTTGTAGCAAGTGTTAATACATTTTCATACATGCGCTAAAAAAGAACATGGATATGCGTTCCTGTGTATTTGACCAGTCCATGTCTAGGTGCATTCATAAGGATGGACCTGCAGTGGGCATGCGTGTTGTTTATCCTGAGTGGCAGTTGATCATGGGCTCCACAGACACCTGAGAACTCTTATTCATTATTCAGAGCCACAGATCAAGAAAAACAGGTATCCTGAGAGCAAAGCGCGAAATTGTTTGTTACATGTTTACTGAGGAAAAGACGTGCTTTTTTCGTGTTTACTACAAGAATACAAGCCTATGTTGTCAAACTTACTGAAAATAAACGAAATATTCTGTGATATTTCGGGCAGCTGACAAAAACAAATAGAGTCAGTAACGTTACATATTTATTTTTGTGCCTAAAATTTAGTCTCGAAAACCGCTCTCAACTCTGACAAAAATATGTTACTGTTTCCACACTGAGCTCTGTATAGAAGATGACCGTCTATCCTTGAAGAATAAATACTCGTAAATGTATTTTTAGAGTTCGACAGCGCGTGTAAAACCTCTTTTCGTTTTTTGTGTTGTGGGCCTGAATGATAATACAGTTTAGTATTTTAATAGCGCTACTCCGCGAAACAACGCGAATGTCGTTTATTTTGCCACACGCCGCGTTCACAGAAATAACAATTAAAATTAAACAACAACCGTGATTTACAATGTAAAAACAAGCCAACTAAGTGTAAATACTCGAAGTAAGTGATGAACTTAAAACATCCCGGCGAGCTTTCAATCATTCCCGTACCAAAAAGAAAAAAGAAACAGACTAACCTCAGTTTTCGTAAAAATATCCCAAAGCGTAATAATCCACATTACATTCCCAACAGGCTCTATATGTTTGGTCCACGCCGCTAAATGTCGTTTTTTCACGGTCTTGTGTGAGGATGTTTTACCCCCGTTCTCCCGTTCTGTGCTCGCTTACAGTTACAGAGAGCCGCGCGCTCAGAGATACTGTTGGACAATCACGAGATTTTCACACACGCGCCCCGCGACCCCGCCTTCCTCTTACTGCGAGGCTCGCGCCATTTAAAGGTGTAGTAAAATCTGAGAGAAAACTTGGCCAAAATCAAACGAGTTTCTTTTTGAAGCGGTAGATACATTTATATGGGGAAAGGGACACGAAAAGTCTACGAGATGTCTGTGTTCTGTTTGCTTACATTTGTGGATCCATGCTGACTTGATGAAGTCCCCTCAGAAACGCGCCGTTTCTTCTAAAGATTACAGTCATCCTCTCTTACCAGGAGACTCGTTAAAAATGGAAAGTATAGTATGTCATTTCGCAACAATACTTGCAAGAAACGCGTATTATGTGAGTGAATGTGTCTGTGGTCATTTTTGGACAGTTTTCAATGGGCCTATGTATAAAAGAAAATCGCTAAATGTTTTTTGTAGGCTATTAGAAATTAGCAGGCTTTGCAGCATTGTCAAGAATATCTAAAAACACAATAATCTAGTTATTTGATTTATTGAATAATTTTTCATAAACAATACTCTAATTTTAAAAAGTGTTACATCTGGACCCTTATTTGAAGAACCTCACCAGTTTTTTCAACTTTTCACCTTTGACCATTCAGAAATTCAGCTTTTTTTTTTTTTTACATCTATGAATCTAATTTGACCCAAATTTATGTAATTTTCTCCTATTTATCCCCTCACAAAATATACTGTCCTCTATAATAGTGTGCAATGAAACTAAATCTCCTAAAAACACTTGTTTGCGGGGCAAGTGTAACCTAATCAATAAATGTGCGAGTGTTTTTTTCCTTGTGGGTGCACTTACTTAGGACAACAGAAAGGCCTGAGAGAATCTTCTGTCCTTGGTGCTGAACTTCACCACAAACACAACTGCTGTGCACCAGCTAAATTAAGAATTGAATGGGGGGTTTAGTGGCAATGTATTTTGACTTCCAAAAGCTATTTTCCAGATAGTTTTATACTTGGGACGCAAGTCAAATCTGCACACTCAAACAACTAACATTGCAATCGATAGGTGTTGACCATGTCATTGATTTGCAGCCCAAATGATCCATCATAGATCCTACAGAATATTGAGCATGTCTCTGAGTTGAATGGATCGAACCTCTCCGGCCTGCAGAGTCAAGCTCATCTGAAGCTGAATGATACGTGTTTGAGGCAGAAAAACTATCAGAGGTAAGCATGTTGCAATGTTGAGAGTCTTCTAGTAGCGCTTTATCACATGCAGTGCCTGTGAGATGACTATGTTTTGGTCTCATTCACACAGTAAGAATGATAGTTAGGCTTCCACTCTTTTGTGCGCCTGTCCATTCCAGTATTCACCAGAGACTAATAGGTCTTGAGGCATCTACAAGCCCTGTATGACAGACTGGCTCTCTTTATCCCCTTCAGGACATTTCAGACACTACGCAAAGACAAGCTTTCCAAACCACCCTCTAAGAAACAGTCCCTTCACCTGAAAGCTTGACATCTCCCTCATTCACTCACATCCAACCAATGTCCTGTCATTACCAGTACACAACCAGGTCAGATGGCATGTCACTACTGTTGTTTTCATGCAAACTCCATGCCCTTTTATCTTCTGCAGTACAGGAGATACTGATACTCTGTGTACATATAAAGATATGTGACCCTGGACCACAAAAGCAGTCATAAATCACACGGGTATATCTGTAGCAATAGCCAACAATACACTGTATGGGTCAAAATTATAGATTTTTATTTTATGCCAAAAATCATTAGGATATTAAGTAAAGATCATGTTCCATGAAGATATTTTGTTAATTTCCTACCGTAAATATATTAACTTCATTTTTGATTAGTAATATACATTGCTAAGGACTTAATTTGGACACCTTAAAAGGCGATTTTCTCAGTATTTTGAATTTTTTTTGTACCCTCAGATTCCAGATTTTCAAATATTGCCCTATTCTAACAAACCATATATCAATGGAAAGCTTATTTAATCAGCTTTCAGATGATGTATAAATCTCAATTTCAAAAAATTGAACCTTATTTTGTGGTCACATATATGAAGATCGTGACATATAAAGATACACATCAAATTGAAGTAGGCCGAGACAGATATTAAATCTGTGGAATTGGACTGAACATAGTAAAATATTTTAAAACTCAATGGACATTCCAGGAATTCTGTGACTGCTCTGACCCTATATATTTTCTAAATGCATGTCATTGTTCTCATTGTGAACGATTCATCCGTGCATGCTTTATTTTAATTTTTTTTACCTCATAATTTTGAATTAAAATAACAACTTGATCTTTTGATTAATCTTAATCAATCATTTATGTGCACAGAAGCTGCATCTGAAGCAACACGGCTCAAAACAAACTCATCTACATCTTGGATGGCCTAAGAATAAGTAAATTATCAGCTTTTTTTTCATTTTGGGAGAACTATTCCTTTAACGTGCCCATGTAAATACAGCAGACTTACCAAATAGCATAGAGACTGAGAGTTTTATCTGCAGAAGATTTATATTGAAGCATTACAGCAGGATGTTTGCCACCTGTTGTCATTCAATATATCGTGACATAAAACAAAAGAGAGGAACAGATGACAGCCTTCGCACTCACTAACAATCTGAGTGCATAAAACAGTACAGTACACCTGTACAGTACAGAGAGCAAAGGAAACCATCTGTTTACTCTCCTAAGCACTGCAAACAACCTGCCTGCTAGCTACTCTGGCATCATCAGCGTGTAAGGAGAGTTTACAGGGTGGCATTCTGCAGATATTGATTTCTGCAGTTAATTCATAAAGGTCTCAGCTGTTCTTTTTCAATTAAACCTGGAAGCCGCCTGGGTCAAGTGGATCAATGTTACGCCCGCAGGTATGAGTTCAGAGCAGATTTACTTAGATTGACTAAGTAAACAACATATTGACTGACACACTCCCATTCCTGAGCTTCCTGTGTTGCAGCTGATGACACAAGCTGAAAAGAGAGCATGCTGGGAGAGACTAACAGCTCTGTTCTCATATTCTGTTTAACTTTGCTCTGGAAGACTGACCTATTATCAGTTCCAGGGTTTACTTTTAACCTAGTATTTCTTGTTGTAATAAGTATTTATCTTTGCTTTTCTCGGTTTCCGTAGAGCTGAGGCACCAGCCAAGGCATCTTTCTCTCTCTCGCACACTCTTATTCAAGTCGAGTGTCAGAAGGAAATCAGACAAGCAATACAAGCTTTGTTGTAAAAGGATGATAAGGGAAAAAAGGATAAGTTCAGTCACTGCATAATGGCTGGCTTTACTATGAAAGACCTCTGTTTGCAAAGCGCATAAGAAAGTCAGGTTTCTGCAGCATGATTTTAAGTCTTAGTCTGAGCAAATCTAAAGCCACCATTTCATAAAATCGGATAAAATAGAGAAGAGCTTCCTGCTGGGGGTACAATAATAAACTGTATACACCATAATTTAACCTTCAGGGTGAATGTATACTACAAATAATCAGTTAAAGGGATAGTTTGTCCATTATTTATGATCTCTAATGTATATTACTGGACTTCTACCTTTGTCATAATTTACTCGCCCTCGTGTCATTCCAAATTTGTACAATTTTCATTCTTCTGCAGAACACAGAACAAGATATTGTCCAAATTATGAAAGTCAACAAGGTCCATTTGTAAAGCGAAATGATTTTGGACAGTATAAATATTTGTATTTGTATACAAAATATATACAAATAGGCCAAAACATATATGAGGAAATTTAAATAACTAAAATATATTGAACATTTATTCATTGAAATATATTGTAAAATCAATCTTTTTTGGTCATGTTTTGCATATATTCAAATATATTTAAAATGATATCTGAAAATATATATCATTTTTGCAGTATAGACAGACTACATCAAATATGGCAGTACAAACCTCAAATGTCAGACCTCATTATTAGTTCTTGCAAGTCGTGTGAACAAACGTCATGATGTGCGAGAAGTTTCTGAGAACGAATGAGCTTTACGGTTTGAAAATTATTTTTTATTTTGTGTTTTTTGTTTTTTTTGTCTGCATGTAGTGAAGGGAAATAGAAGCCTTTGTTCACTCTTAAATCAAATCATTGATCAAACTGTTATTTTAAAACAAGATTTTGGACAATATATTTTAAATACATTTTTATATATAAAATAGAAATAAAATTGACAAATAAAATAGGAAATATGAATAACTACAAATTATCAAAAATATATTTATGTTAGTATACTTTAAAATCAGAATGTTTGTATAATTTTAAAATATATCTGAAAATAAATATTTTTGGCAGTATAGGTGTCAGGATTGGACCCATTTTGTCATGTGTTTCAGTTCCTGTTTTGCCTAATTTGGTCTTGTTCCTGTCCTTGTTTTGATTATTAATTGATTCCCTGCACCTGTCTGTCCCTCGTTATCCAGTCCTTATAAGCCCCAGTCTGTTCAGTTTGTATTTGTCGGTTCTACTCATTGTGTATGTGTGTTTGCGCCATACCTTTGTGTGGATTTACTCTGTGTTCCTTGGAATAAAGACTTTTGATTGTACTCCTTGTTTCCCTTGCACTCCTTCCAACAGCGCACTGTGACAATAGGCATGACTACATCAAATGGTGGCACAAATGTCAACAAACGTTAAACCTCTTTGATATGCCACAAGACCAAACATCATGAACCCATGAGGTTTGATGTTAGTAAACCTAACTAACCTAATCATAAGATAGACTTAAAATATAATTTTTATTACTAAACGTGAGAAAAAAAAAATCTTTTTTCAGAGAAAATTGTATCTAGGATAAAACTAAATGGTCAGAGGTGAGCATTTCAAAATATTTGAGTGAGGAGGGGGATTGAAAGAGTTTGGGGCTAAAAAATATTGTGCATCAGCTTGTGTGTGTGTGTGTAAGACAGAAGAGCCAGAATGGCATTAAGAAAAAGGAGATACAGTGTAGAGAGAGACAATCTGACAGATAGAAACAAAGAGAGAGA